TCTGTTGTTTTGTATTTTACTATTTTGCCTTGGGCACTGGGCCCGTGATAAAGTGATCCACCGTTTTAGGCAAAAAAAAAGGAGGAGGCGAAGGAAGGGAAAAAGAAAAGGGAAAAAAAAAAACAAGTACGTCCGCGGAAGGTTTTGAGTTCGCAAAGGCAACAAAAATGAGCGCCCGTGAAGAAAACAGCCGCTGAGTTTGGAAAAGCAATTTGGTAGAAAAGGATCCATTGGGCGTTTTCTTTTTTTTTTTCCCCTCTCCCCCATCTGTCTGACACCATGGCCGACCCCTCTAGTTATGACACACGGCCAGACACCACGGCCACCGTACTTTCATTGATTTTTTGAACTCGGCGGCTGTTTTCTTTGCGGGCTCGTGTTCTTTTCGTGCATTAGAAACTTAAAGGTGACATCAACATCAACGTAGTTGCCCCCCCCCAAAAAAAACTGCACTGCGGTAGCAAGCTACAGACAGAAAAAGGAAAGCGGGTCCAGATCTTGTGTAGGGGGGGGGCGGGAGGGCAGGAATGAAATAACAGTAAAAATCCCTAGTTGCCGTGTGACTACACTGCAACCAAACAAAAAGCGCAACGGTTGAACACCGCGACCATGCCCCATTCGAAATGCTAGGTTGAGGTAGAAATCCGCCTTTTCGAGGTCGCAAAGGCCACAAACTTTGTGGGAAAAAGGTCCAAGTGTGAGCATGCCCTAAGGCTGTCATCCTTTCAGGAAAACAAAACGCAAACAAGGGGCGAAAACAGAGACAAACTCGTACACCGCCTGTTCCCCCCCCCTCCCCCCCCCCCCTCTCTCTCTCTCTCTCTCTCTCTCTCTCTCTCTCTCTCTCTCTTACATAAATCGGGTGGGCCTTTACTAGGGGTAGGGAAACATCTATTGGTGTCCCCTCTGATGTTAAATTAATAACTAAAAGGGGGAAAGAAAACAAGCACAGAGAAGGCAGCTGAAATAGAAACAACAGAATGTGACAAGACTGCAGGACTGCACCAAGGACAAACAACACAAAGAGAGTGTGGTCACTGCTTCTATATCCATTTTTATTTTTTTTTGTCCATCCATAGACAGAGACACAGGACAAGTAGCAAGAAAGAAAGAAAAAATTCAGTAAATCATGACACATGTCTCTCATAACACGTGTCCTCCTCGTAGTGCACACAACACCTGTCCATTTGCCAAGTTCCTCCTCGTGGAACAATGCAGCGTCTTAGAGTCGTTGCATTGCACTTGCCAGCCAGCCAGTTCTGCAGGAGGTGCTCGAAAGCAACGGCAGAAAAAAAGGGTAAAAAAAGAAACACAGAAAAGACGAAGTTCAAGCATTAACACAGACGGCTACAAAAGAAGAAAAGAAGAAAGCGAAAGGATTCATGCATCTGAGGGGACCGGTCCCGAAACCAAGTGCCAATCAGCAGGACCTTATGAGACTTCTCGTAGGTACTGTACAATAGGTCGTACAGAAACTGGCAGGCCCGAGTCCGTAGGAGTCAGTTGTTAGGTAACAATCGCCTGCAGTAAGCTTCCGAGGGGAAGGACGGTGCTCTTATCACAACCCCCTAGTAGACTTTGCCTGGCTTTCCCGAAAAAGAGAGAAAAAAAAAAACAAGGTACCAATCGTCCTGTCAGTCCTAGTCAGTCAGAGCCCAGTCCCAGGAGAGTCATACGATGTTCCCAATCATTTAGGCCAGCCGCCGCCAACGAACAAAGGACCGACATCACAAGTCTAGCTTTGGATCCGCAGCAAGTACTTCAGTCAAGTCGCACCCACCGTCAACACAAATTTCCATCCGTGACCATTGCAAAAGCGCTGCTGCATTTTTGTGCGACCAAGCCACGGATGAGAGAGGAGAGAGTTGAGCGTAGACTCTGTAGAGTAGTTAATGGCGCCCCTAGCCACATCTTAGTACCACAGAGAAGACAATATGAGAGGGAGAGAGAGGCAAAGACATTCAGAGAGGGATAGTGAGGCCTGACTAGAAGAGAGTGTGTGCGCAACGCGCACACACGTGTGTGTGTGTGTGTGTGTGTGTGTGTGTGTGTGTGTGTGTGTGTGTGTGTGTGTGTGTGTGTGTGTGTGTGAG